GCCAGTGAAATAAACATGCCCTGGTCCTAAGATTAGAGACAAAAGGCTAAAAAAGGACCAATGAAAGAAACACAGTTTGATACTGAAATCAGAACCATCTCTACCCCTGACCAACTAAACTAACCAATGCCTGAGCAGGGAAAACTAACCAATCCCTCTTCTCCCTGGGAAAGCTCCGCCCCTAAGAAGCCCTCTATAAGCTTCTCTGCCTGTTCCCTTGGAGGCTGCTCCTTACCCACTGGCAGAGGCAGTCAGTCTCCTGGACTCCACTCCTCCTTCAAAACAAATCTGTTTCTCAAGGCTCTTGAGTGATGGTATTCATTCACAAGCTGAGCAGAAAAAGTAACAACTTTTAGTCAAGCCTGAGGAGATTGCTACATTTCTGCAGGGGACTTCTCTCCTTTAGTAGAGTGTTAGCAAAAGAGGCAACATCTTGGGCCGGAGAAGAAGCTGATTGCTTTGCTGGGACATTCACTTAGGGGAACAGGGCAGAACTCAGGTGTAGCGGCTCTCCAGGAGAGGAGAAAGATTGCTATATCCTGTGGAGAGACCATTCTCCCACTCCACTCCAGCTTCAGGAAGCCTGATTTCCTGTCAATTCAGGACACCTTTTTCTCCAGGGCTGAGCTGTCCTATTGTGGCTCCAGCCTCCAGAGCTTTCCTATTACAACTCTAGGTAACCTAGCTTCCTAATCAGTCAGGACATCTTTCCTCCAGGGCTGAGCTGTCCTATTGTGGCTCCAGCCTCCAGATCTGTCCTACTGCAATTCTAGGTAGCCTGGCTTCCTGACAATTCAGGAAAACTTTTCCTCCAGGGCTGAGCTGTCCTATTGAGGCTCCAGCCTCCAGAGCTGTCCTATTGTGGCTGTAAGTATAGCTATAGCCCGACTTGCCGATAAGTCAGGATATCTTTGCATCTCCAGAGAAGTAACACTCACACTCCCCTACATACAGTGTGTGCACGGTGACAGGGATACCCTTCAGCAGTGTCTGTCTTTACGCCATCTCAGGGTTCAAGAACCGAAGACAGAAGTTGGGATTTCACCTCTCATCATTATTATTTCTTATACTCACTTCCAGAATGTTCCTTTTCTACCCCCATACCCATAGATTTATGCCTTTGGGTTTGGAGGTTCAGGGACATAAGAGAGGAATGATTTTCCATATAGTATAGTCTGGCCACCTTGTTAATTGGAAAGTTAAACCTCTTCCCTGGTCAATTTTACTTCTCATACCTACTGAATCTAGAGGAGGGTAAAGGAGTGACTGCAGAGGAGCCACGGTGCCAATGTCGAGAAAGTCGGTCCTGCCAGACAAAGCACCAAGAATGGGAAGTGATTCATTGATCAGACTTTGTATTTTTTAGTATTGAGAAAGTCAGTTTTACTGCACAACACAGATGACTTGTAAAGCCTGGGTGATTCACTGCGATGACCAATCAATACACTCCAGGGCTGGTCTACCACTGTAGTAAAGTTTGAGCCACGTTCTCAGCGGAAGAAGGTAGTCGTCTGAGGAACTAGTCAGGTCAGGGGAATGTGGAATGGGCAGTGGCAGAGAGAAGAGTGATCTAAAGTTAGGTTTAGAGAAAGGAGAGATGTAGAGACAGGTTAGAACTGAGAGACACAGGGACAGGGTGGAACTGAGAGATGCGGAGAAGGTGGAACCAAGAGGCCAGAGACAGGGTGGATCTGAGAGACACAGAGACAGGGTGGAACTGAGAGACACAGAGACAGGGTGGAACTGAGAGATGCGGAGATGGTGGAACCAAGAGGCCAGAGGCAGGGTGGATCTGAGAGACACAGAGACAGGGTGGAACTGAGAGACACAGAGACAGGGTGGAACTGAGAGACACAGAGACAGGATGGAACTGAGAGATATGGAGATGGTGGAACTGACAGGGCAGAGGCAGTGGAACCGAGAGATACAGCAGTTATTTTGAGTGTCTTCCCATTTCCTTCTCTGATCATTTTTCAAAAGATTTTGATAAAAATATAACTCACCGTCTTAGCTACTGTTCTACTGCTGTGAAAAGACACTTTGACCAAGGTAACTCATAAAGTAAATTGGGGTCTTACAGTTTCAGAAGACCAGCCCATTATCATGGTGGGAAGTATGGTGGCAGGCAGGCAGACATGGTGCTGAAGATGTAGCTGAGAGCTTTTTCCTTTGAATCTAGGGAGAACAGGCAGGGGCTGTCCACCTCCAATGACACACTTCCTCCAACAAGGGCACACCTCCTGATCCTTCTAATCTTCAAATAGTCCCACTCTTTTGTCACGAAGTATTCAAATATAAGAGCCCATGGAGGCTCATGTCCTCATCTAAAGCACCACACTCACGCAATACAAAACTCACTATTTTACGTTGTACAACTTGGAGGGTTGTCTACACTTACCACACACTATGCAATTACCGCCACTATCTAATTTCAGAATATTTTCATCACCTCCAAAAGAAGCTTCTGTCACCAATTATTTCCAGTTACTCTTCCACCCACTTGCCCTCACTATTTTCTCTCTCTAGACATTTAATATAGATTGAATCATGCAAAGAGTTGTCTTGTACATCTTATGTAAAATCATGTTTTCAAGGTTCATCCACGATGCAACCAGGTGTCCATAGTCCATCCTTTTTTTTGTTAACTAATATTCTGTTTCAAATAAAACATGTTTTGTTGATTAATTGATTAAAGTTTTTCACTGGGATTATTTTTCCTTCTGACTGCTATGAATAATTTGGCTATGAATACTCATGTACATGTTTTTGAGTGAATATTTGCTTTCTTTCTTTTAAAAACTAGAGATACCATTGCTGGCTTAATATAGTATTCTGTATTCAGGGTCTTGAAGATGCTCCTAGCCTCTCCCACAGGAGGATATAGTTTGCATTTCTAGCAGCTACAGGATGGACAATCATAGGATTGCTCTGATTTCCTCGCCTCCTCACCAGCACTGACTGTTACGTTTATTAAAGCTATTCTAGAAGTCAGTAAGCATCTGGCCTCTGGTGTCTTGCTTTGCATTGCCTGATGGCTATAGAGCCATCTTTTCATCTGCTTTTGACCATTTGCTTATCTTCTTTGGAGTTGTGGCTGTTCAAATCCTTTTCCCACGTTGTAGTTGGCCTTTTTTTTGTTGCGTTGTGAAAATTCATTATATATTCTGAGGCTACATCCTTATTAGAGATAGGATTTGCCGGGACTGTCTCTCTGGTGTGGACAGGACCGTCACTTTTTTGATGGTCCTTTGCCACATAGAAGTATTACTTTTAGGAGGCCGAAACAAATTATGCATGTTCCCTTTGGTCATTGGGCGCTTTTGTGTTATAGGTAAAAAACTTTTGCCTGACAAAAAGACACAAAGAAGCCTCATAACTGTGTTCCCTTCTATGGATTTCATAGCTTTTCTTCTTTATTCAGGATTTTGATCCTTTCTGAGTTAATTTTTGCATATGGTGAGAGTAAAGTATATTGACTCTTCTTTCTTTTTTATTCAGAAAACCATATGCTGAACAAGTCTCTCATTCAGTGGTCTTATCAAAATCAAATGAACCCGTATCAAAAAATCAAATGAACATGAATGAAATTGATTTCTGCCCTCTCCCATCTATTGTATTATATACTTCCTCTATACCAGGACCACAGGGGTCTTGATTACTATTGTTTTGCAGAGCATTTTAAAACTGGAAGATCTGAGTGCTCATTTTTTGCTCTTTTTCTCGGAACTTTTGATTTTCAGAGGGGTGCTATTTGTAGTCTTTTGTATTCATATATGAATTTAAGAATTCAATTGTTCATTATCCCCCACCCAAAAAAAAAGGCAGTTGGAATTTTGATACAAGTTCACCACATTCTTGGATCTCCCTTTTCTGCTAAATGAACAGTGCTATGCTGAATGCTTTGGAATAAGATAGAACGTCATCATGGTACAGAGATAACCTGTGAGACTTTGTATGTTCTCTATACTGGGGACACGGGTTCTCCTTCTGACTAAGGGCAACAGTGGTGCTGGTGTAGAAGATGATGTCTGTTTATCACTTCAGACACATTCTTCACTTTCCCCCATCCTGCTCTGAGACCCTAGAGATCAACTTTGTGCATCTCAGCACACAAGATCCCTCACGGTCTGGAGTCACGGTCTGCTTCTGACTAGAATCAGCCAGGATGGGGCATCATCAGAAGACCCATCAGAGAGTGGGAAGGAAGAAGTGGCTCTGTGTTTTATTGTACAGTGATCCTGCTGCTCTGTGCACCATGTTCTGCAGCAGTAGACCATCTACTTATGCAGTCGGTTCTGAGGCTGTGGGTGACTTCCCTAGTTGCTAGCTCTGGAGCTCATTACAATCTTTCATCAGTTTCTCCAAATCCTGCCCAAATCTTTATAAACATTCCCATTTCTGGTGTGCATTCTTCTCCCTGTCCTTTAGGTCACTGGCCATCCAGTTTGAGCACAGCTCTGTCCTTGAGAACATAAGGAAGCATCGACAGTCCAGTCAGTATGATGCAGACTGAGAAGGGTCAAAGGGCATGTACCACATAACCCCTTATTTATAGCCCATATGATGAGCTTGGGTTCTGATTCAGTGGTTCGTAGATTTGACTCCAACATCACACATACACACGTGTGTGTACACACACACACACACACACACACACACGCACACACACCCCTATGTATATTGTACCTACTTGCCTAAAAGAGCCATGGGAATATAGTTTTAATTCCTAGTATCCAGTTCCTCCAACTAAGCATTCTGAAACAATTTAAGACGAGAACAATGGGCAGTGAGCATCATTAGCCGTCTTCTTCATGTACTGCATTTTAAAGGCTCTGGGAAGAGTGTGGAGATGCTGACAGCAGAGGTTGAGCGGTGGCGGGGAAGGGAGGCAAGAACAAGGACAGAGGAAAACACCACTAGTAGGAGGACTTTGACTATATATCTTGCTATGTATTTTATTGTGTATCAGAGTCCGGTGCTAGCCTGAACCATAAATTATTTCTCTCCACCAGACCCCAACATAAACTGTCTCTCTGAACCGGCGTGGAGGCGCAGGAATAAAGACACAACTCACACGGCTTTATTGGGAGGGAGATTCTCAGTGATCCCTCATGATGTCCCGAGTTCACATCCTGAAGAATTCCTCTCGTTTATTCTCCAAGCAGTCTTCGTACCAAAACTTAACTGAGGGATAAATACATTAGCATTCTGTCTCCTAGGTAACCAGGTGAATGGCTTTTAGTCACATCCACAACTACCTGTCTGCTGTGTATGCTAGCTGTCACGTAGGTTTGAATCAGCATCTCTATCAGGCACCCTCCAAATTACAAAGAAAGGAGCAAACCAACATCCTGACCTTTTGTTAGGTAGTGACAGTCTGTCTGAAAGGTTACATGACACCCTCAGGTGGGGCCTATGGCTTGATAACCTGGCTGCCATATCATATAGAAATATGGGCCGACAATTGTGAACTATGTATTCATATTACCTACTTACAAAGTAAGAGTTTGCCCTTCAAAAATAAGTAAGTCAAAGAAAGAAAATGTTACAGTTAGTCTTGAGTGTGGTGAGAACAAAGGAGCCACGGAGCCCAGTAGACTAGCTCTAACAATTAGAATGACCTATGACCTGATCCAAACAAAGTGTAATGGGTGTGTTAGTTCCTTGCCTGTCTGTAACAAGCATTGCAAACTTACCATGTTAAATTAACACCAATAAGTCATGGTTACTGCTTCCTCTTTTGCAAGTTATCTAGAACTCTCAGATTCGTAAAGATGGAAAGCAAAATGATGGCTGCTGCAGGCTGCAGAGGGGGAAGGGGAATCGTTCAGTTAGACTGGAGCTGCAAGATGAAAGAGTTGTAACTGCATTGCACAGTCATCTGTAGGTACCCAAGTCACAACACTGAATTTCACATCAATCTATAGGTACCCAAATTGCAACACTGCATTGTACAACCATCTATAGGTACCCAAGTTGCAACACTGCATTGCACAGCAATCTGCAGGTACCCAAGTTGTAACACTGCAGTGTACAACCATCTATAGGTACCCAAGTTGCAACACTACATTGCACAGCAATCTTAGGTACCCGACAACACTGGGCTGTAACATGGTTCAGATAATTTCATATTATTTTCAACCACAGTTACAAAACACACTCAGCTGTGGCATCTAAGGCAACCTAATTGAATTATTGTATCTTACAACTTTCTTGGGTTTTATCTGCATTCCAAAGGCAAAGGATTGCTCAAGAGCGATGGTCACTAGAATGCCATTTCAGTGTTCTGCCTCCCACACTGCAGGCTAAAACAGGCTACATTCTCAGGGACATTTTCTCTCGACATTCGGATCTCTGCATAACCTCAGGAGGCCTGAATCTACCATGTTTATGAGACAGGATTTCCTTCCTTTATGATACTCGGTGATGCCTGAACACAGCCTCTGTTGGTGGAAACTCATTTTCCGGAATGCAATGACATCATTTGTGTGTGTTTTTTTTTAAAAAAATTGCTTTGGATTGAGCTGTCTATGGCAGCTCTGCCTGAGATGATCACCAAAGCCTGTCTTGGAGATTGTTTGCCCAAAAAGTTTTTCTCAAGTGAAATATTCCCACCCATGCGAAACGCTGAACGTGAATGATGTCATATCTAAGGAATGAGTTTTAAATAGTTAAGTATGGACTTGCCAGGATTATGAATGGACTTCCAGGAAGCAGATGGGCCCAACTGAAGCCATTAACACAGTCTGCAGAGGCAAGTTGGTGAATGAAGAAAGCCCAATTTAGCTCAGAGAAGGGTAGATGATAACCTAGAACTTAAAACTTAATCTACAGAATATTGCATTCTAAAAGTAAAAGAACGATCCTACCACGTGTACATGTGCCACAAACTTGAGTGCCAGACGTGTAGAAACCCTTCTCTACTTTCTTCCCCTTAAGCAGCCAGAGCCTCGGCTTCTGAGTGAGGGGTTCTCGTCTTCAGCTCTTTCCTATGTCCTCGTTTTCAGACATTAGATGACAGTCACTGCTCTTGTAGGATAGATTAGTGCAGTCCGCTTAAGACTTTGGATCATTAACCTCTTAGATGACCCCCGATTTCACTCAGCTTAATGTTCCCAAAATATCACAAAGAGTTGGAAGAGTCATTCTCCTCTGCAGATGGAAGTCTGAGGAGGCCGTCTTGGCTGTTTGCCGGCCTTGCTGTGGACATGAGGGGAGACCCTGAGCTGCAGAGAGAGGAATGCTCCCTTTCCAGACAAGATGGTATAGAGTTTTCAGAAGATTTGGTGATTTGTTGCTGATTGGATTGTAGTGCAACCCAGTTTCATGGCTCTGACCCCATCAATGGTTTCAAGCCTTTGGTCTGCACCCAGGTTGGGAATTACAGTCTTTCTCGTGTCAAACCCATCCTTTCCCACCGAAAGGGGAAATTCACCAGCAAAGTGTCTTAACTGGGAACAGTCACGGGAACTGTTGCTTCTTTTGGAGCAGCCTGCCTGCAGAATCCAGAACGAGACTGTAATCTGTGACAAATTGGATGATTCAGCATCAGTTAGGTAGCCTGGATAATTCAGGATTAGTACACAGCAAACCCATTCCTGTGACTGAATCTAAGGACTCTGAGCAATTTCCAGACTCGGGGGAAAGGAGCTGAGATGCACCTTGACGGGATTCCTCCCTGCTTGTGCCCAACACTATGTATACTCTCTAAGAAAGCATGGAGTCACTCGGGCCAGTCTCAGGGGTTCTAAACCACTCTCAGTCACTGCTTGGCATGTATACCTAACATCTGACCTCTTGATTCTGTCTTTCCACAGGTTTCTTCCTCTTTACCAGGCCATTTCTGGCCCACCAGGTTTGGGAACTTAACGGCTCTCTAAGACAGTGGAACGAAAGAGGTCACACAGGTATTCAGCATATCTAGAAATAGCCTGGGCTAGGAGGGAGGTCTTTGGTTCCTGGGATTTATTTCTGGTAATTGCTTCAGGAGGCAGCTGCTTTATGTCCCTAGTAATGGCTGGTAGTAGCAGTTCTCCGCAGCCTTCCTCCAGTTTTCAGATGCTCTGGTCAAGGATATTTGGAGAGCTAATGGCTAGGAAAGTCAGAGATAATGGCGCTTAGAAAGAACTCCCTCCCTCTTCTCTCTCTGGAGAAATCTCTCCTTGGAGGGAAGGATGGGAAAGTCCCAGCAGCCCCTGTGTGAGCCAGTCTCTGCTAATCTTGGAATCTTCTCTGTGGAGTTTGCCCAGGTAACGTCTGGTTCATTGTGTCAGCCTGTGTCACCTGTCATTGCTCAGACTGATGTTTGTATTTATCCTCTAATTAACAAAGTCTTTGTCTCTGGACCAGGGCTCTTAGTCGGTCAGTGTGCAAGGCAGGCTCGTTTGTTAGCAGGCCTAAGCTCATTAACCCTTCAGTGTCTGGGTTAATCGTCTCTTCAACATTCTTCTAAGTGCTCAGTTCCTCGAATAGAAGAATGTAATAAGAGCTCAGTTGAGGAAAAGAGTAAATCTCAGGGTGCTTTCTAGAGTCTTAGAAAAACGTGTGATGGAGCCAGATAGTGGTGGCGCACACCTTTAATCCCAGCACTTGGGAGGCAGAGGCTGGCGGATCTCTGTGAGTTCACGGCCATCCGGGTCTGCAGCCAGTGTTGCACAGAGAAACCCTGTCTCACAAACAACACAAAAGAAAAGCTGGACACTGATTTGTGGAAAGGCCTTGATGTTATCTTGCTTCATGTACCCCAGAAAGAAACACAGTGAATGAGAACAGCAAAAAGAGATGTTCACTCAAAGTTTGGAGGAAGACTTGTATTGCAGACATAGGTCAAACCCAACACCACAATTTAGAGGCCCTTGTGCAGAAGATTATGTGAAGCTGAGTTGAGTAAGCCAATGAGGGACTATGACATAGAACAAACGCCAGAGCAGTAGTTCTCAACCTGTGGGCCGTGACACCTTGGGGAGTGGTCAGACATTCTGCACATCAGATATTTATATCATGGTTCATAGCAACAGCAAAATTATGGTTATGAAGTAAAAACTAAATAATTTTATGATTGGCGTCATCATAGCATGAGGAGCTGTATGTATTAAAGATACGTATCGCAGCATTAGGAAGGTTGAGAACCATTGCTGCAGATCAAGAGATTGCCTGAGGGTCAAGAGATCTACATTCTTCAATCCCAAATTCACACATAATTTGGCAGGTACAAGTTGGCTTAGGAGAAAGTAGAGCAAACTGAGACTGTCCCAGATAAATGGAGGTGATCTCATCATGGATGAGCTGGAGAACCAACATCAGCGTAGGAAGTCACTTTCCTTACTGACATCTGGTCATCATGGTGACCCTCCTGTGGACCATATCCTTTCCAGTGTGCTAAATCAATATTTCTTTTCTAAAAAGGAGATTTATTTGGGTGTGTGTCCATGGGATCCAGGAGAGGGTGTTAGATACCCTGGACCTGAAGTTACAGGAGGTTTTGAGCAGTCAAATGTTGCTTCTAGGAATTGAATCTAGGTCCTCTGGAAGGGCAGCAATTGCTTTTAACAACTGGGCCATCTCTCCAGTCTCTCTCTTTTCCTTTTAAAGATATTCTTTACATTTATTTCCTTGCGTGTGCATGAGCTCACAAGTACATACCGCAGTGCACCTGCAGAGTGCACCTTGTCGCCCACATCTTGTGGGAGTCCATTTCTTTCCTCCATGGACTGAATTCAAGGCATCTTGACCCAGTGAGCCATCTCACTGGCCAACATCAGCGTTTCCTTATTCTAAATAGTGTATCAGAGTGCAAAAGAACATGGGAGCCTTATTGCCTCAGATAGAAGTTTTCAAAAGAAATTATTCATATTTTAAGTGTTTAATCTTGGACAGGCTGCGTGTCTTCATTTATAGAGACTATTTAAAAATCTTACCTTGGGTAAGTGTGAACTCTTGATCGAGGGTATTCTGAGTAATCTTTTCTCTTCAGTCATGTCTTACAATACAATTGCTCAGAAGTCAGGAACCTGATTTTAGAAGCACAGCATACCTCAAAGGTAATGTAAGCTCAGTTCCAGACCATAGCAACAATGCAAACTTCTCAATAAACTGAGTGAGACATTTTTGGTTCCTCAGGCATTTTTATAGACTACTGTTGCATATTAAATAATCTATAAGATGTCTAAACAGTTCATATTTTATTTAAAATACTTTACTCCTACAAATGTCTGTGACCATCTGAGCGCTGAGCTAGTTTTCATGTCTGTGCTGGTGAAGGGTCTTGCCTCTCCACCTGTGGCTGCTGTCTGAGCAGTGTGGTGGCTGCAGGTTGTAAGGGCTGTGTGGTGGCTGCAGGTTGTAAGGGCTGTGTGGTCCCCGCAGGTTGTAAGGGCTGTGTGGTGGCCGCAGGTTGTAAGGGCTGTGTGGTGGCCGCAGGTTGTAAGGGCTGTGTGGCAAGTTTCTGTAACAACCAAGTGTGTGGCACCAACTGGTCTCTTCCTTCACAAAAGACTCATTTAAAATATTATTTAACCGTATCCTACTTCCCACCATGGCTTTGTCCACCAAAATTATATAGTATTGTAAGTTGATATGATCATTTCAACATTGTTTCAAGCATGCATCACTATGATGAGCGGACTTTCTATCTAGAATTTGTTCCTCTGCAAGAAGCAATATCACCCTTCCTAAAATTTTAGTATCTGATGACCTCTATTCAGATGACCTCTGCTCAGGTGACCTCTGTTCAGGTGACCTCTGTTCAGATGACCTCCACTCAGGTGACCTCTATTCAGATGACCTCCGCTCAGGTGACCTCTGTTCAGGTGATCTCTGTTTAGGTGACCTTCATTCAGATGACCTCCGTTCAGCCATGTGATCATGCTTCATCTCTAATTCCCATTCTTATACTATTTCTGCTGTTTTCTCCTCCACTGATATTTTCAACCACTCACAGGCTGAAATTATCTTCTTCCAATGTCTCATGAATATAGTAATTAATGTTGACTCCTTTCCTAACTCATATACTTGCTGGCATCCAGGATTGGGAGCCCTTTCCTGAAGCTTTTTTGTTTCCTTTCTCCAGGGCTATTTTGTGTATCAACATCTATGGTAGGAGTGGTCTTAAGGAGCTAGTAAATAGTCAGATCACTCCCTGCTCTACATGCTGCAGAATGGATAGTGGTTAGGAGTCGTGAAAACAACACTGACCTCGTGGTCCATGTACCCCAGATCATGTCTGAGCAAGTGCACTATCAATGAGCAGTAACAATCTTTTTCTCTGAATATGACTCAACAGGAGGCTTAAAATACCCAGTAAGCCATGTTGTGAACAGATGAGCTGCCCTCCAGACTTTGTTGTTCTGCTAGTAGGGCATTGGCAGAGTAGATTTAGAGTAATTCCCAAAGTCTTAGGATCTTCTGAATGAGCCTTGGGATCAACTTAAAGTCCCTGACGGCATCAGCCATTGATGGGAAAGTCAACCTACTTTTTAACAATCCTTGAATTTAGGCATGGGTTTCTCAGCAGCTAGGAAAGTTCCAGAAGGCATCATCTTCCAACATGACACTGGTTCGTCTTCACAAAAGACCGTTGACTTAATGCGGTCACCTCCAGCAGCTTACTGCAGCTCCCACACAAACAGGTGCTGCTTCACCCATTTTAGCCTTCATGTTACATAGACAACTTCATTCTTCAACCTTCTGATGTAACCTCACTTCTGTAGCAGCCTCTGCTCTGCCGGCTTCATAGAGGTGACAATAGTTAAAGTCTTAACTTTAACTGGTCTGGACATTGACTTTCAGGATTCTCATGGCTGGTTTGAGTACTGCAACTTCCTCCACATTAGACAGGAGCTATTTGTCCTTTTCCATTCATGTATCCACTGCAAGAGAAGTTTGAACTTCCTTCAACAGTTTCATTGTACATTCACTCCTTGGCTAACTGGTGTGCACATCTCGTTTTCAGGCTCCCTCGACTTTTGATGCCCTTGCCTCATTCACTGTGATCATTTCTAGTTTTCTTTTTTCTTTTACAGAGGAATACATATAACTGTCTTTCCTTTGAACCCTCACAGGCTGCTGAAGGCTTATTGATTGTCCTGTGCCCTAGTTGGCTTTCTGTTACTATGATAAACATCACGACCCAAAGCAATTTGGGGACGAAAGGGTATATTTGACTTCCACTTCCACGTCATGGTCCATCATCAAGGGAAACCAGGACAAGTACTTATGCCAGGTACCTGGGGTCAGAAACTGAAGCCATCACAGAGGAACACTGCTGACTGGCTTATTCCTGGGTCATGGTCAGCTTGCTTTCTTATATAACCTAGGGCCATCTGTCCAAGGGTGCCAATGTCTACAGTAAGCTAGACCTTCCTCCATCAACTAGCAATCAAGGAAATGAACCTCAGACATACCCACAGGCCAGTCTGAACAAAGCAATTCGTCACCTGAGGTTCCCTTTATCCCAGGTGTCTTTGGTTCACGTCAACTTGGCAAAAATCTAACCAGCACAGTCTAATTTTAGTAGTTTTTGGTGTCTCAAGGGCTAGGCAGGCTCACACACACACACACACACACACACACACACACACACACACACACACAAAAGATGAGAGGAATGACTCGTGGGTGGACACATCAGAAACACATTTATCAACTGAGCTGGCATCCGATACAGACAGTTTGTAATGTCCAAACACTGTAACAGGTACAGTAATGATGAAAAAACATGAGATCATTGGAGAATGGCCAAAAGACACCACAAAGTCACAGGGATCATAGATGTGCTATGTTGATTTAACTCCTACTGATGGAGGTCATATTTATGCCTATCATTTGTTTTATTTATCAGCAAATGAAAGATCTTATATCTCTATTATTTTGGAGTTGTATCTATGTACTATTCAGAATAAGTTTCTAGAAGTAGATTTTGCTGTCTGAGAGGGTGAGGGCAGCTAAGATTTTGGTAATAACTCCTCACCAAGTCCATATCTATTACATTCCTGTTAGCAATATGGAAATACCTCATCAATGATCATAAGACTTTTGACTTTGCTCTTCTGATAAGTGGGAAACAGGCACAATATCATTTCAATTTTCATTCTTTTTAGTGAAATAATTAAAATATTTTAATATTTAAGAGTTAGTTCTATTTCCTTACTGGGGATTGCCAAAATTGAAAATTTAGCATTCTTTGTTTGTTTAAGACAGCATTTCTCTGTGTAGCCCTAGCTATCCTGGAATTTGATTTGTAGACCAGGCTGACCTTGAATGCAGAGATTTGCCTGCTTCTGCCTCCCAAGTGCTGAGATTAAATATATGTGCCACCATACCTGGCTGGATTTGGCATTCTTAAGAACTCAGTTATTGATGACTTCTCTTAGTACTTTATACATATATTGCCCATTATTTGCCCATTATTATTATCTGTGTTAGCCATGTGGCTCAGTATGTTTTCCAGTGAGACAGATCACATCCTACTTCTTCAGTGTCAGGACAGGACTGGGGAGGAATGAGCTTCCTTCTTCCCAGAATACTCCTGTTCTCCTTGCCCTGCCTCTACTACTTCCTGTCTGGTTGTCCCACCTATTCTTCCTGCCTGGCTACTGACCAATCAGCATTTATTAACAATATAATTGACAGAATACAGACAACTGTCCCAGACTAACGTGGCTAACACAGACAAGAATTATGGGCTAATATAAGTTATAAGAGTCAATAAGGAGTCCTGGAAGCCAACCCAGTCCCAGGAAACTGGCGGACCTAAATTGAGTCAGTGACCAGATCCAGAGTCAGTGACTTCCACCAGAACAGGTCCAACTCCAAGCCAGGGACTTATGCAGGAGATGATCCAGACCAGGATTTACAGAAACAGGGCAAAGCCAGCAACCTAAGCCAAAGTAGGACTGAAACAGCAAACTTCAAGGGAGCAGAGCAAAGCACGGGAGCACTGAGCTATCTCCAGGAAGAGGAGTAACCAATGGGGTAACTAGAACTGTGGCATTGACTGTATCATGAGGAACAATCATCTGAGCTTTGGATTCACTGGCACCTAGAAGATTATTCAACAGAATCTCCGACAGCCCCAATCATACCTATTAGAGGAGAAGTTGAGTAGAAAAGATAAGATCACATGCTACACCACAAAGAGGAACAAAACACCAGTAAAACCTAAAGACTCTACAATAGCAAGACCTGAACAACCAAATATGGATGAACCAGAAGAAAATGACCTAAAAAATAACTTCAAGTGAATGTTTTAAATTCTTAAAGATGAAATGAGAAATTCCCTTAAAGAAATTGAGGAAAAGACAAACAAAAAATTGGAAGATATCAGCAAATCACTTAAAGAAAACCAAGAAAAAGAAATCAAACATAAAAAAGAAACTATTCAGGATTTGAAAACTGAAATAGAATCAATAAAGAAAACACAAGCCAAAAGAATTACAGAAACAGAAATCATGAGAAAAAGATCAAGAACCATAAATGCAAGCATGAACAGCAGAATACAAGAGATGGGAGAGAGAATCTCAAGCACTGAAGATACAATAGAGGAAATAGACTCATCAGTTAAAAAAAATTAAATCTAACAAAAGCTTAACCTAAAATATCCAGGAAATATGGGATACCATTAAAAGGCCAAATCTTAGAATAATAGGTATTGAAGAAGGAGAAGTTTAATTCAAAGGCACAGAAAAATTATTTAACAAAATCACAGAAGAAAACTTTCCCTACCTAAAGAAAGATATGTCTATGAAGATACAAGAAGCTTACAAAACACCAAATAGACTGGATCCAAAAAAAGTCCTCTTGCCACATAATAATCAAAACACTAAACATACAGAGCAAAGAAAGAATATTAAGAGCTGAAAGGAAAAAGGCCAAGTAACATATAAATGTAGACCTATCAGAATTACACCTGACTTCTTATTGGAGACAATGAAAGCCAGAAGGTCATGGTCAAGCATTCTGCAGACATTAAGAGATCATGGATGCCAGCCCAGACTACTATACCCAGCAAAACCACAGAAGGACACCGTGGAAGGACAAAACAAGATATTCCATGACAAATCTAGAATTCACCAATACCTAGCCACAAACCCAACCCTACACAAAATACTAGAAGGAAAACTCCAACCCAAGGAAGATGACTACACCAACAAAAACACAGACAATTAATGATCTCATAACAGCAAATCCCTAAGAAGAAAAAAATGCACAAATTAACACCACCAACGATGAAAACTAAATTAACAAGAGATGACAATCACTGGGCATTAATGTCCCTTAATGTAAAGGGACTCAACTCACCCATAAAAAGGCACAGGCTAACAGATTGGATACAAAAACAGAATCCACCTTTCTTCTGCATACAAGAAACACATCTCAACCTCAAAGACAGACATCGTCTCAGAGTAAAGGGTTGGGAAAAGTATACTAATCAAATGGATCTCTGAAACAAGTGGTGTAGCTATCCTAATATCTAAAAAAATAGACTTCAAACTAAAAATCAGTCAAAAGAGACAAAGGTGGTCATTTCATATCAGTCACAGGAAAAATTCATTAAAAGGAAATTTCAATACTGAATGCTTATGCCCCAAATACAAGGGCACCCTCATATGTGAAAGAAACACGTCTACAGCTTAAATAATACATTAAATCCCACACACTAATAGTGGGAGACTTCAACACTCCCCTCTCACCACTGGACAGGTCAATCAGACAAAAAATGAACAGAGAAATAAGGAAACTAACAAATGTTATGACTCAAATGGACTTAACAGACATCTATAGAATATTCCATCCAAACAGAAAAGAATATACCTTCTTCTCAGCACCTCATGGAACCTTTTCAAAAATTGACCACATACTCAGTAACAAAACAAATCTCAACAAATACAAAATAATTGCAATTTCCCAATGTACCTTATCAGATCACCATGGTTTAAAACTAGAAGTCAACAGCAATACTAATTTCAGAAAACCCACAAACACATGGAAATTAAACAATGCTCACCTGAATCATCAATGGGTCAAGGAAGAAATAAGGGAAGAAATTAAAGATTTCCTAAAATTCAATGAAAATGACCACACAACATACCCAAATTAGTGGGACACAATGAAAGCAGTATTAAGAGGAAAGTTCATAGCACTAAATGCCTACATAAAGAAGCTGGAAAAATCCCACTTTTTCCAGTGAATTAACAGAGCATTTGAAACCTTAGAACAAAAAGAAGCAAACTCACCTAAGAGAACTAGACAGCAGGACATAATCAAATTGAGAACTGAAATCAACAAATTAAGTACAAAGAATCAATGACACAAAGAGTTGGTTCTTTGAGAAAGTCAACAAAATAGACAAATCTTAATTCAAACTAACCAAAAGTCAGAGAGAGAATAGCCAAATTAACAAAATCAGAAACGAAAAGGGGGACATAACAACAGACACAGAAGAAATACAGAGAATCATCAGGTCATATTTTGAAAATCTGTACTCCACAAAATTAGAAAATTGAAAGGAAATGGACAACTTTCTGGATAAATATCACTTACCAAAATTAAAAAGACCAGATAAGAAAATTAAACAGATCTATAACTGCTGAAGAAATAGTCTTCGGCATGAAAGTCTCCCAACCAAAAAAAGACCAGGACCAGATGGTTTCAGCTCAAAATTCTACAAGACTTTCAAAGAAGAACTAATACCAATACTACTCAAATTATTCCACACAATAGAAACAGAAGGAATATTGCCAAACTTTTTTTATGAGGCTACAATTATCCTGATATCCAAACCACAGACAGACATTACTAAGAAAGAGAATTACATACAAATCTCACTCATGAACATTGATACAAAAATACTAAATAAAATACTGGCAAATCAAATCCAAGAACACATCAAAACCATCATTCACCATGATCAAGTTGGCTTCATCCCAAACATGCAGGGATGGTTCAACATATGAAAATCTGTCAATGTAATCCACCATATAAACAAGCTAAAAAGTAAAAACCACATGATCATCTTA